CAGCAGGAGGGTTGGACTAGATGACCCACAGAGGTCCCTTCCAACCCCTGCTATTCTGTGATTCTGTGATTTATGCTTATGTCTATGCAAATGAAGAACGTGGAGATTCACTGTTGGGCAAAGACCTCCAATGAAGTCTAAGTTCTGTGAAAATTTCCTGTGTCCATGCAAATACTCCTTAGGCTTCAGAGCATGAAATACTGCTCTTAAAAGCACAGATAAAAGAAAGGACACATGTATAAGAAGCAGAGGAAGAATGGATCAGTTATCACTGAATGCTAGGATATCCCTAGGGAACTGGCTACACACAAAAATTTAGTTTAAATTGGTTAAAACTGACTTAGTAAAAAAGGTGTAAATCACCCTGTGGATGACCTTTCTTTACCATTTACCTTGTGCCTATAAATTTACCAACATCAGTTAGCTGATGAAAAACATGCTTAAGGCAATTTCAGGGTGTTCACATACACAGCTTTGACTTGCAATCATTACAAACAGTAAAACACATTGCAACTTTGCAGAATTGAATGAAGGCAGCTGTGGGTTTAGATCAGTTTTACAAGCAAAAAAAGGGTACATTGTACTGGCATTTCCGAAGACGTTTTTGCATAAGTTCCGCTAGAGATGTTTCTTGGGACTTCACACTGTGCAGTCCTTAGTCTGCATGCCAGAACCAGTATTTCTTACCAAGCACACTGTCTTTAAAAAGGAACTAATGTATTAAACACAGGAAGCAAACATTTCATGTCTGCATACAGTGAGTCTTTTAAAGGGGCTGGATCCCTAAAGGAGGTTGCAATCCAAAGAAACCCTCCCAATATCCAAAGGATTTACAGGTGACTAGTACTCAGAGGTGATGTGGATTTAGACCCTCCATTTCGCTCAAGAGCACTTACATATGCACAAGTTCCCACGTCCTTTGCAATTATCTTCAGAGGAATGCTTTTAGGATAGTCTTTTTCCTTCTCTTCTCTTATTCGACTGACAAAACAAGTACAAAACAAGTAAATTTTTAATATCATAAACATAAATAGCAAGATGGAGATTTAAATAGCAATCAAGCAGTAACTGGAGAAGAAGCAGCTGTTTGCAGACGTACTGCAGTACAAAGATCCCTGAGGACAAGAAAGCATCCAGCAGTATCTGGAAGGCATGCTGACCGTGGCCCCCAGTAATGCCCTGTTGTATTAAAGTTCATTGTAGAAATCAGTGTAAGCAGCAGAGAAACTGGATTTAAAAATCAAGCTAAAACTACCAGCCACTGTGATGCCTCAGTCTGCACTACAGGCTCCTACTGGAATCAGTTACACCCCAATGTACGGACCAGTTCAAAGGACTGAACAGGAGAAGAGTGAATTAGAAATCATCCCCGTTAAGGATGATTTAAACAACCCTAGGAACTCACCAGCAGAATTAGGTGACCAGAAAACAAAACCACCACTAGTGGTCTTCTGTTCAAACACTGACTGAAATAAGACAGCTCTATTTATGCAAACCCTCCCACCATACCCTCCAGCTTGGGTTCCATTTTGCAAGACCAAAATACAGCCAGCCATGAGCAGCAGACAGGTTAGAGCAGAGGTTCCTGAGCTGGGCTTGCTTAGATGCCATCACCACGCAAAGAGCCCCAGGTTCAACTAGAGCGATGGTGGCAGAGGCTCCTACAACTGCGCAGAGAGGGGACCATGTGTGATAGGAATCGCTCCAGTTTTGTGCTGAGCCATCTTCAGGCACAGGTAAGTGCTTCCCTCCTCGTGTAGTGATCATTGCATAAATGGGACATACCACCTTCTGCAGAGAGAAGACGTGAGATTTTTTTTTCTTAATATCACTTTGAAAGACCTTATCTGTCATGATGGCACAGGTACCACAGCTTAGGAATCACTGGTCTAGATGACTGGGACTCTTTTCAGTGTCTTCAAAGACTGTATAATAAAGTACCTTTGCAAAAAAGACAGCCACGTTTCCTTTTGTTCTGCAGACCTGCAAGAATTATAGAAAAACAGGGACAAATCAGCCATCATTCTAATACCAAAATAGCCCTTGTACAAACCACAGTGGAATGGACTGCTTCTTGGTTGCAATTTCCATAAATACCTACAAAAACTAAAAGCTTTTCGCAGACTTGAATGAACTGTTTCCCTGCAAAATCAACTGAAAAGCATGCCACAGAGATCAAAAGCCCCAGTTATCAGTTTTTATCACAGAAGTTTACCAGTGAATTCAGTAGGAAATGGATTGAGTTCTTAATCTAATGTCCAAATAGAAGAGGAGGGCACTTTAAAATAAGACCTTAACTCAAAAGTTCAAAGGTATTTCCTCAGGTATACAGACTTCTTCCCACTTTCATTATTCTAATTCTCTTCTTATTTATTACTTGGTTTATCACCACATTACAAAGTATGCAGAAGCCAGAACGAAAAAAGGTCCGGTTGTACTTACTAGGGCTTGACTTTGGACATTTTAAGGCTTGTCTCATTTATCTGTATCTCATTTATACACTTTCAAGGGTTCAAAACTATCCAGTTAAATGTAGCTAATAATAGGATAGTGCAAGGAATCTAACCTAATTTTGCTTCAACTTTCTTGATTTAAATCCTGCCCCAGATGGAGTAACTGCTATTCCCATTGCTGCTTCTGCAAATCAAGTACTTCAAATTTTCAGAGCAAGCATTTCGGGAACCACAAACCTACTGAGTGATGCTGTGAGAGGAATACACTTCATAAACATTAAAAATGTGATTCTGCTTTCACTGCTTAAATTCTGTTGGATATGCGTCTTTGGACTCATGCATGGCATTTTAGATTTTTCTGTGTACCTCCAACAATCAAATAATTTCACTTCTATAAAATCTCTGACTCTGTTCTGATTGAAGTTATTGCTTTCCTGTCCAACTACTTTTTGATAGCTATAAAGGACCACATACTGTCTCCAGATCAAAGCTCATGTTTATTGGCAAGAGTTCAGCTGAAAATTGATAGAAAATTTCAGCTTTGTTTCAGGACTATTAAGTGAAAAAAACATAAACAGCACAACCAGCTCAGTAGAGAGCAGTTTGTGCACAGCATTCTCTTTGGATATGGACAATATGACATACAAATTAAGCTGCATGCGTCAGCTTTTGGTCTCTGTTGGTAAAGAGGAAAATGCACTTTCTAAGACCTAGCCAAATTACTGTGGCTAAGCAGCTGGGATTTCAGGGGCACGGTGCCCTCCCTTATCCAAAGTGACGACAGAGGCCTCCTACAGAGACTAAAATTAGCCTAATCACCGAAATTACTTCTACAACCCTTATGTGTCCTGTAGTCAATGCTGCAAAGACAGACCAAAAATCTTTCGCTCTTTAAAAATTCAGAGATTCTGCTTTGAGAGGAATTTTGACACTTTCTCTGGCATAATTAAATTAAAAAGGGATACAGGACAAGGTCAGTATTTCACTGTAAGTTTCTTGCTACTTCCAATACAAGCTCTTCTGTTTAAAAGTGTCCTATGAGGGTCTTTTTGGTCTGTTCATTAGTTGGCTGTTTATTATTTGTAGTTCACCTCATTAATTAGCCAAAGTGTTTGTCAAATCATACCCAAAAAGAAAGAGAATTTCCACTGAGAAAGTTTGCTGCACAGACAGTGCTTTGCCAAGTCATGTATTTTCTCAAATTTTTAACTGATAAGTGACTATCACTGCCGCGTTTGCAGACAGACAGAAGATGAGGGATGGAGGGTGACTTGCTCACAGCAGTAGAAGGAATTATTTCAAGAATCAGTAAGTTCCTGCTACCCACCTTCACTGGTGCTGAAATGAATCGATGATAGTCTCGTTACCTGTCAGCCTAAAAACATTCAAGTAACTTGGTAAATAAAACGTATCTCAATTCTTACCTGAAATTCGCCACACAGTTTGTGGTGGGCCAGCCCAAAACAAAGGACCTCTCAGGGTCTGTGCTGCCTTCACAGACTTCTTCTGTACAAAATGCTGTCCACATCTCACAGAGACGTGCTTGGCACTTTAGTTTGAAATGAGAGTGCGACCTGCCGGCAGAAATTCACGGGTATGTCACACAAATGAAACATAGCAAGGTAGGTGAAACAACTGAGTTTCTTCTTCCTTCAGGCACATATCAGACTTGCATTGGAGCTGATGGAAGAAGCACTTCTGCTTTAGTTAAAGAAAACTATGTTTTATTTGGGTTGCATATAAAAATATATTAATTTGTCATCTAAATGGCATCAACAGATATATGTGGGATAAATGGTTGCTTGTGGCATCCCTGGACATCCTCCTTCTTGGGAGAAAACTTCTGCTCATACCTAGAGCTCCCATCCAAATCTTGCAATGAGGCAAAGATTGCCACTTGTGATGGACTCTCAGTGACTTAAATGCCATTGAGGAGTTCGCAGTATAGCTGGATTGCTTAGCCCCAGGGTCAACAACTATGGTGAGTTTGAGTTGTGACAACTAGGCCACAGCACATGAAGCAATCCGGAAGAAAGAACAAGCAGAAAACTCCCATTTGTGCTAACTACAGCCCAGGTCACATAAAGACTCCAGGAACTACCTTCATGGTAGCTTTAGGCCCAAACCACCTGGAAGATAAGCCAGGACTTCCTGCATTCTCAAAATAGCTAGTCATCTACAAGGAAGACAAATAATTTCCCCAATTTTTGAAATTTTGGCCTTTCCTGTATTTTATCCTACTAATATTAGAGTACAGTAAAGGCCAAATTTACAGACCATTTTTTTATTTCAACTCTTTTTATTTCAACTCTTTTCTTCCACTTATTTTCTCATGATAAGTCTCCTTCCTTTGTAGGACAGAAACACAGAATCATAGAATGCTTTGGATTGGAAGGGACCTTTAGAGTTCACCTAGTCCAGCCCCCCTACAGTGAGCAAGGATATCTTCAACTAGATCAGGTTGCTTAGAGCCCCGTCCAACCTGGCTTGAATGTTTCAAGGAATGGGGCATCCACTACCTCTCTGGGCAATCTGTGCCAGTGTTTCACCACCCTCACTGTAAAAAATTTCTTCCTTCTATCTAGTCTAAATCTACCCTCTCTTAGCTTAAAGCCATTGCTCCTTGTCCTATTGCGACAAGCCCTGCTGAAAACTTTTTTGCCATCTTTCTTGTAGGCCCCCTTTAAGTACTGAAAGGCTGCCATAAGGTCTCCCCTCAGCCTTCTCTTCTCCAGGCTGAATGGCCCCAACTATCTCAGCCTTTCCTTGTAGCAGAGGTGCTCCAGCCCTTGGATCATCTTTGTGGCCTCCTCTGGACCCACTCCGACAGCTCCATGTCCTCCTAGTTTTGGGGACTCCAGAGCTTGACACAGGAATCCAGGTGAGGTCTCACCAGAGGTTGGCGTTCTGGGCTGGGAGCGCACATTGGTGGCTCATGTCTAGTTTTTCATCCACCAGCACCCCCAAGTCCTTCTCGGCAGGGCTGCTCTCAATCCCTTCATCCCCCAGCCTGTATTGATAGTGGGGGTTGCCCTGACCCAGTTGCAGGACCTTGCACTTGGCCTTGTTGAACCTCATGAGGTTCACCCATGCTCACTTCTCGAGGTTGTCCAGGTGGTCAGGATCAGTGGACATCAGTGCTATGTGAGAAACGAGTAAAATCTCACAAAGTCAGCCCAGCTCTGTAGCAATGCAACAGTCACTCACTTCAAGGCAGGTTGGCACTAGAGGCCTTGCAGACTGAACTACCTGAGCTATGGTTCTCCCGGGCCAGCAGAGAAAGGCTGGAGGAAAACTGTCCCCTCCCTGAAAATGTTTTGCCCTTCTAATCCAAGAACTGTAAGCAAGAGCATGTCAGCTCATCGCCATGTTGCAAATGTGGATAGGCACAGTGCCAGGCACCATGGTGATTAGTGCTCTATAAATAAATATGCTAGGTAAGCAGTTTCTTAGAGCTTTGATACACATGGACTACCTTCTCTGAGATTAGTCTCATTTACAAGGTACTTGATTTAGGACAGACTGAACTAATACAGTCTGAAACATGAAAGTACTTGAACCTTGTGGCATTAAAGAGGACATAGAAGAACTTGCAGTAACCTGACTGGTCTGAGGTTTCCAGCTGACACTGTGCTAACAGGTGTAGTGGCATAGAGCAACACTAATAACCCAGCATTATTTACAGTGGTGGGCAAGAAAGGATCATCAGTGCTTATCACACCCAGCAAAATTATGCACTTAATCAGATCGCCTTAAAATACCGTAAAACACTATCTCAAGTTAATGTGTTTTTTAAACTGTACCATTGTGTTTCCTGGTCGACTGTACATTTCACCTCTCTTCCATGTGTTTTGTTACCCCATCAAAGAGAAACTTAAAGTACAGGAGAACATTTCAACATTCTTGGTAACAAATCAGTTTGTGATGTAGCAAGTAAGACCTGTCAAGAACAGAGAAATAACTGTAACTGACTGACTACAGAACGAACTGTGAAAATGTAGATTTACAAAAAAATACAGCTGTGAATTCTAACGTAGATGTTAATAAATGGATGCATGTTCTGACTCCACCGAATCAATCTGTTGACCCCCTCTTTCTCCTTAATTTCTTTTTCCCATTACCCAGAACAGTGAACTCCCTACATGCTGTTTCACTTTTTTTAACATTTACAGTTCACAAAACCAGACCCCCACAGTGCCAGCAGCAGGTGTTGGCAGAACGACAAAGATGTTCTCCAATCATGCTTGATGTATATTCTTACCCCGTTTGCCATGCCTCGTCACAGCTCTCAGCAATTATCATTATTCAAGTGGCCTGGTTTCCAGAGGCACTGAAACAGTAGCCGCCATTAACATCTCAAGAGCCTGAAGTATGATTTTATCTCTATCTGCCATGTCCTTTATGCAGTCCATGGGTTCTCAGTGTTTGTGAAATGTGGGTCTTCTATTTAAGTGCCAAAGCGTTACCTCTAGAAATGAATATATCATTACTGACTAAGGAAGTAGCATAACTGAACACGTGAAAAATGGGAAGAGTAACAATCTAATGAAGATTTTATAAATTTTTTTAATGAAGTAAGTCCCCTTGCAAGTGTTACACTGTAAACATCAGACAGATCCAGAGTCCACTAAAATCAACAGAAAAATCATGAACATCAGTGGTGTAGGTGTTGTTTCACCCCAAATTGTGCCACTTCCGCCGAGTAAATTCAGCTCCTTTTGCTCTCTGAAAGTGACTATTCGATACCTTGTAGCCGTTAACAGATGGAAGATTAACTTCTCACTAGATTTGCTAATCTCCTTAATAGGACCCTCTCACAAAAGCATTAATGGATCTAGTGTGAGATTGCTACCCTATTTCCATGTATGTACTCAACTACTAATTTCTATGTCCAGCCACGTTGTGAAAATAACCTTAAAATTCATCTGTATATATGCATGCATGCATTACAAAGAAGAAAGAGGAAGCCGTTTCTCTGTGCCTCCCACACAATAACATCTGTGAGAAATCTTGATCATTGAACTGACAGATCCTTGAAATATTCACTCTGCCAAATTAAAACACATGGTCTCTGTGAGAAACCTAACCAAGATACAGGAAACAGTGTAACATTTTACACATTTAACATTGGTTTGGTGAGAAAAACTTAATCAATTTATGATTTAATCCTCACATGAAGGCAGTAAAGGACAGGGCAGCAGAGAGAGATGCACAGCATGTGAGTACTATTCTTATTTTTTTACAAGCTGGGCTAATGTATGATCTGAAAAGATAGCATTCTACATTTCAAAAATTATTACTAGGAAGTAGCAGAAAATGAACCTATAGGCACCTTGTCCAACGTCATACACAGACCAGCTGTGGAGAGGACTTAGCCCCACAAATTTCCATAGGAGGAACGCCAACTCGTTGCAGCAGCTCAGTGCTGTACCGGAGTTTTCTCAGCAAGCTCAGAGGACACCAGATACTTCTTGATCTCTTCAGAAAAAACTTATACCTCTTTGCTGATCATACGAAGTCTAAAGATACATGAGCTCCCTTTGTCTAGTGACTGGCTACCTGCAGCTGAGCTGACACCAGTACAGCACTGAGCTGTACCTGTGGTATCTTAGGTGTTCATATGCCCCAAACTGAAAAACTACTTAACACAAAAGAATATTACAAATTTTTAGCACCTTCACAAGGAATAACTCTGATGTTAAGTCAGATTCAACTGTACCATTAATTCTGTCCCCGTGACCTGCTGCCTTGACTCTGCATCAGCTATTACAAAGTCAATAATGATCAATAGTCACAGCTGCATACCAATACACACCACTCAGGTTTTCCCTCCAGGAATCAGCAATGATATTTTAGTGTGAGATATCTTTAAAAATGCTGATTTTTAAGTAGCATTCATTAGTGACAGCTCTGATGTTTTAATTGCTGACAGGGCAGCTGTAGAGAGAACATCCCAATCAGTTCTTTAAAACACATGAAGTAATTCACTCAAAACACTCTTTTTACCATTTCTAGCAAAGACTTGCCCCCCATCCCCCTCTTTTTCACATGCAGAAGCACAATTTGTTCTCTTCTTCACTTTCTTCAAACATTGCAGACTCTTCAATGCATTAAATCAAATGCTGTAAGAGCCGTTATTACTCCCTGGGGACCAGATTTTGGAGTGGTTACATGGAGTAGTGCTTTCCTATGCAGCTAGTCCCACTGGGACCCAGCCAAACCTGCAGTGATGTGCAGCTCAGCCTGGGGCTGAAACACGGCTTCTGCTCCGCATGCTGACCAGGGAGGGAGGGATTCATCTCACCTGACTTTAGCCTTCTACAATTTAGGAGCTTAAAGCCAACCTAGAGAGACTATGCCTGCTGAATAGCCAGTGGGCAGAATGATAGACCCCCAAGAGCATGACCCTCCTCATCCACCATCAGCACCCTTTCAGGGTCAGGTAAGTTTGCTGCAGGAAGGTGCTGGTTTTCCCTCAGTGACTACAAAAGGAGCCTAGAAGCCCAGGTAAGTTGCAAATATTTAACATATGAAAGCTTAAACTAGGTGACACAAACATGCATAAATACAGTAACCATGTTATTACTGCTACTGCTGGTAGAATAGCAAGATTTCCCCTAAATATCCTTCTGTTCACCACCCACCCGCAGCGGAACATGTTTTGGGTAAAACATCCTCTGTGTTGTCATACTACATCAAGTGAAGGAGTTCAGCTGGGGGGGTTACATTTACTATGTGTGATTCAAATGGACACAGCTCAGATTTCTGTAGAAAACACAGATTTATTCTGGCTTTTCCCAGCAGCCTCTGAAACAATTGCTTAAGCGAAAAGACACATTGCAAAACCCCAGGATTCACATCGAGACTACACACCCTGTGAAACCACATATACAGTGCCTAACAAAGAATGAAGCTGAATCATGATTATTTATTATTATTTCCCCATAACAACAAGTGAAAGCACCCTCTAAAATTGCCTTAAACCACAAATGTTGCATGAAGCTGGCATGCTAGACACAGCTTGTAAATCTGATTTAATTGTGAATGGTAGGGTGAACAATCAGAGCTCAGCAGCAAGTCTGCTGACACATGAACGCTACCCAGACTGCTCAGCATCGCTTCCCTTCCCCTTCCCCCCACTCCTCCTGGCACAGCACAACTTACAGAGACGGACACTGCAATGCCGCCTGCAAGCTCTGTTCTTATACAGCTGCTTGTCACTGATGTATATCAAAGCAGCTTCCAGGTAAGCATTAAGACCTCTAACCCCTCTGCGACACAGCCACCGGTGTTACGCGCACCCCATAGGACTGAAGACAAGCTGTCTAAAACACAGCAGCCAAGGCAGCGCAACAGACACCGTTGAGCACCAATGAGTCTTTTCTATGATGCTGTGCTCCCAAAGCAGGGAAGATGATACAACGCAAGCAGTATATTCAAGAACAGCTGATACTTCTTCAAAAAGTTGCATCTTGGAATTCCTCTCTGGCTACAGGGTTTTCAAGGGTGTCAGGAGAGGTCAGGCACCTAACTTTCATTGACTAAATAAAAAGCTTCCCTATGATTTATGGAACATTTGTTACTAAAAAAGCATTATGGAAATCCATGTTATGCTCCACCAAGAAAAAGGGCTGCTCTGTAGAAGCAGTGCCTGAGGTGCCATACTCACTTGGACTTGGCAACAACCAGAAGGTCTGTGAAGAGGAAAAGGTGTCGCTCCTGGGTTTGCAGACCCGTCTTCAGCTGCACGTGGCCATCCAGGATGAACGTTCGGTTGTGGCACATGAAAGACTGCACAAGGGGACATGCCTCAGGGCTGATGGGGGAGAAGCAGCCTTCCCTGCAAAAAGAAATAAAGGTAATAAAGCAAAGCGAATCAACCGATTGCCTGTGAGTGAGAACCGGGCAGCAACTTTCCACACCTGCTGCCAAGAGGCAATTTATTTGACCACATTTCAGTGAAAGGTGAGAGATAGTTCAGCAGTCTGATTCTGACACAAAATCTGTTAGGGACTGTCCTCACTGAATCTTTTACAGCCCAAACACATGGATAGCATTTAGCAAAATTTAAATATAGCCCTCTCCATTTTGTTTATCTGTATTTGTCTCCCTTTGTACTGAAGTCCTAGAGGAAATACCACACCCTCTGCAGGATCTCTGTGAAGACAGTGGAGACATATGCATGACAAAGGGTAACTGCACATCCACCTTGGTCAGAAGGAGACTCATACTCCGGGTCCAGAGCAATCTACAGAAATTATTCAGAACCAAGACCAAACATGAGGTGCAAGTGAACCTTGCTAGAGACAGACCATGTGCTAGATGCAACCTGAGAAGAGACTGCTCAGCCTCTCTCTCCTAGCACTCGACCCACATTGGGGTAAGATTCTATTGCAGGGTTTCTTAGGTGACTGGAGCGTGGCTATGCTGGTCTGTGGCTGCGGTGTGTAGAGGCTTCTGGATAACCCAAACCCCGGTCTCTTGGGGGCAGATTGGGCTCCCCTCTGGAAGACATCAATCTTTCTAAGGAGGTATTGAGTAGGTTGCAGTCCAATGTTACTGATGGTGGAGACACAATTCCCTCAGCCCTCCTGATCTAACTGTTCTTGCATGACATAAAGTACTTGAACAGTTATCGAAGCAGAAATGAGAGTTTCTCTAGCACGATGGTCAGCTTACTCACCCAGACAGGATATCCCTAGCTTCTGAGCCTTGCCCTAACAAATGTGTCTTTATATGGAGCCAAACTGAATGAATGTGAGCGTCTGAGGGGACGACAGTCCTCCTCTAGAGCTCTCTAGAAGCTGGTTGCAGGTCAGGCTCTCCCTTGGAAAGCCAGAGACATGGCTTCAAATTCCCCCAGGCAGGTGAGAGAACTGAACCTGGGTCTCCTACACCCTGGTGTACCCTACGTAATTGTTTTCTGGATTAAAAGCAGGACCGATCAGCATCCTTACTCTTGATTTTTAAATGCAGCTTTTCAATTATTTGCTTTCCCTAGAGGTGCGTCCAAATGAACCATTTGCCTTCATTTAGATGGATCAGTTCAATTTCTATTCAAATGTATTCGCTTATATTTTCTTGTTAAAAAAAAAGAAAAATTAACCTAAACCTTGGCAGGATCAGCTTGGCAAGGAAAGGCAAGGAAGTGAGCAGCTTTGTGATTACAGTTTATTCATCGTCCTGCTGGAATGGATGACAAACACCTAATGACTTTGCTGGAAGAAGAAATTGACCTTATACAGTGAAAATCACAGAACAAGTGGGAGAGATACGAAAGAAAACAAGAGTGAGCAGAGAAAACCTTCAAAGAAGGTTGTAAACCTTCTTGTATCTCTCTTAGAGCCTGGCTGACTCCTGACCCTCCTCTCCTTAGAGTCATAGAATCATAGAATCATAGAAAGTTTTGGGTCGGAAGGGACCCCTAGAGGTCATCTAGTCCAACCCCCCTGCAGCGAGCAGGGACACCACTAACTAGATCAGGTTGCTCAGAGCCCTGTCCAACCTGGTCTTGAATGTTTCCAGGGATGGGGCCTCCACTACCTCTCTGGGCAACCCGTTCCAG